AATGAGTGTGTATATGTCCATGAATGAGTGAAAAATTGTGCTGAACACTGGAATTTGACACAACACTGTAAAATGATTATGAATCAATAAAAAATGTAAAAAAAAATAAATAAATTGGTGATTAAATTTTGTAACTGTTCGTAGGACCATTCAGGTTTTCTGTTTCTTCTATACTTGCTTTTGACAATTATTATTTTTCTAGATGTTTATCTATTTCAATTAAATTCTCAAACTGTTGGCCAAAAAAAAAATGTGGATTCCTTAGAATTTTAAGGCAAAAGTCTAATGTCTCCCTAATTGCTTTGCTCCATAGTGTGAAAAGTATCATGGTTTAGTATATACACATAGATATTATGAATCATTATTACTTTATGGAACTGTTGAAACAGGAAACAATGAATTAATTTATCTTATGTTCTTTGCCAACGTGCACTGGTTGAATGATTGAGTTTTACAAAGATTTACCATACTTTGAACTTTGAGACTTAAAAAAAATTTGCCAAATATTTCATAATCAAAACCCCCAAAATGACAATGTGATGTATGTTTTCTCACATACCACACTGCATATAAACAAACAAAATCTGAAACTCCAAGAAAAGGAAAACTTTTTTGTGGCCTAGATAAAACAGTAGGAACATTTGTTGAAACTGAAATTTTTCATACATTAATAAAAATAATTTTACGTATTTTCTAGATGAATCAATATAGAAAATATTTTCACTGTAATCAAAAGCATTGTGAAAATATTGCTTGCAATGAAGAAATAGGAAATCTTAGTGAAGAAATAGGAAATCTTAGTTAAGAAATAGAAACTATAACAAAGTACTAAATAAAAAGTCTAGAATTGAAAAGTGCAATATCTCAAAATTTGATAAAACATTTGATAAAAAAGCTTAACAGCAGAATTGAGAGGACAGAAAAAAATCAGTGAATCTGAAGACACAGCAATAGAAATTATCCAACCTGAAAAACTGAAAAAAAATGTTGATAAATAACAGAGCCAATGACCTATGAGACAGTATCAAAAGATTTAACATATGACTAGCTACTTGGAATCCCAGAAGGAGAAGTAAGGGCAGAAAAAAAATCTGACACATTACACACAGAGGAAAAATAGTTCAAATGACTTCTTATAACCTATGGAGACCAGAAGTCAGTGATATAATATCTTTAAATATATCTATATCTGTATCTATATATGTATAACAAACCTCAGAATTCCATAGCAAGAAAAAACATCCTTTAAGAACAAAGACAATCCAGAAAAAAAAACTAATGAAAATTCATTAGCAGACATGTACTCCAAGAAATGATAAATTAAATTCCTCAAGCTGAAGGGAAATGATACCAGATGGAAATTTAGATCATGTGAAAGGAATGAAGAGCATGTGAAAAGGTAAATATATGGGTAAATATTTAAGATGAGGGGGTTTTTTGGTCTTAATTTTTAAAAATACATAAAGCTGTTTCAATTTCCAAGTGGAGTGCTGATGTGATTTTCCATGGATTACTTCTTAATTGCAAAGAAAAAAATGTACCAATACAATGGAGAGAGCTGGTGGTCAGTACATGAACCAAGAGATCAAACATAGCTTCACTTTATGTCACCTGTTATTGTACAAATATTGAATACACAGTATTATCTATGAAATTATCTTGCCAAAAATTTAAAATCTGAAACATAATGAAGCCTCTAGACGTAACAATCCAGTTCACAATAAATAGGAGGGATAGAGAAACCAGTTAAGCCTGCCTGGAGAAAAATTAGGACAAATACAGAATGTGGAACATTATATGCGTTACTTCTCCTGAGTCTTCAAAAAGTTTAAGTTACAAAGCAGGTGGAGGATAAGTTCTCGACCAAAAGAGACTCAAGAGCCATAATCATGTAAAATATATGGGCTTAGCTTGGTTTTTGGCTTTTAAAAAAAGTCAGCACTTTTAAAAGACATTCTCTAAACTGGAGAAATTTGTAAATGGACTGATTACAGAATGGTATAGGTCTACTGTTAATGTTTTTAAGGTGACAGTGGCTCAGTGGTCATATAGATTATCTTTAAATCCAGGAGTTGAATGTTGATTTTTTTTAGAGGTGAAGTGATACCTAAATCATTCACTCCAAAAGCACAGAAAAATGATTATGCAGTATATATATTCAATATGTGATAAGTGTGATATATGTGAATCTGTATATATACATTTTTATATGAGAGAGAGAGAGATACTGAATGTAGAGGGAGAATAAACAAACCTAAACCTTCATTGGACCGCTGTTGTATCTTTTCTGTAAATTTGAAAATTTCCAGAAACTTGAGGGAAACTTTTCCATGTCAACATCTGTTTTCTGTCAACCTGTCACTGTTAATGTCTTAAGTTCCCTGAATTGTAGAGAATGTAGATTCTGTTACCTGTATTATAGAACTTGTCATAAGAAAATTTCTTCAAATCACTTTCCAATTTTTCATTAGCTATACTCTCACTCTTCAACAGAAGCATAGAGTTTCTTCCCATTATTAATCTTCAGGGGGATAAGCTTTGAATAAAACAGTTTCTTGTTTAATATGTTCTATGGGAATTTGTCCAAAATGAATTATCTAAAGTAAAATATGGGTAAGTGATGATAGAAGGATTTAAAAAATATACTCATAGGGTCTTCCTTCCACATGAATTTGTTTATAGTAATGCTAGTAATTATCATTTTAAATGATAACAATATTTAGTAAGCAAATACTGTGTTAGATGCCCTACCAAGCATTTATAATTTACGTTAAATAATTTAACCTTTACCATAATATCATTATGTGGTGGAAGAATGATAATGTTAAAGGATGTGCCATGGCTAACAGCTTTCTGACTCTCATTCCATTAAGAGTTTCTCACCTGTGTGAAGTCTTTGATGTTGAGTAAGTTGATAGCAACGAGGAAAGGCCTTCCCGCATTCCTTACATTTGTGTGGTTTCACACCAGTATGAATTCTCTGATGTTGAGAAAGACCTGAGATAGAACGAAAGGCCTTCCTACATTCTTTACATACATATGGTTTCAAACCAGTATGGATTGTCTGATGATAAATTAGTTGAGAATTAAGTCTAAAGGTTTTTCCACATTCCTTACATTCATAAGGTTTCTCCCCGGCATGGATTGACTGATGTGTTTTAAGGTCTCCTACACGACTGAAGGCTTTCCCACATTGTTTACATTCATACGGTTTCAAATCACTATGAATTATCTGATGTTGAAGAAGGTATGAATGGAGCTTAAACGTCTTCCCACATTCTTTGCATTCATGTGGCTTCTCACCAGTATGAATTCTCTGATGTTGTGTAAGTTGAGATCCTCTACAGAAGGCCTTCCCACATTCCTTACAGTCATAGAATTTCTCACTACTATGAATTCTCTTATGTTTAAGTAGGCTTGAGCCCCTACTAAAGGCCTTTCCACATTCCTTACATTCATGAGGCTTCTCACCAGTATGACTTCTCTGATGTTCAATAAGCAGATAGCTGCGAACAAACGCCTTTCCACATTGTTTACATTTATATGGTTTCTCACCAGAATGAATTTTCTTATGTTGATAGAGACTTGAACGATGACCAAAGGACTTTCCACATTCCTTACAGATATAGGGTTTCACACCATGATGAATTTTCTGATGTAGACACATATGTCGATACAACCTAAAAGTTTCCCCACATTCGTTACATTCATAGGGTTTCAAGCCAATATGAATTTTCTGATGTTCAGTAAGGTGAGAATGACGTCTGAAGGCCTTCCCACATTGCTTACATTCATAAGGTTTCACACCAGTGTGAATTATCTGATGTTGAATAAGCTGTGAATAAAACCTAAAGGCCTTCTCACATCCATTACATTCATAGGGCTTCAAATCAGTGTGACTTTTTTTATGCCTAATAAAATGCTGGAGAACTATAAAGGCCTTTCCACATTCCTTACATTCATAGGATCTCACACCACTGTGGTCTCTCAGATGTTCAGTAAGGTGTGAATATTTCCTAAAGCCCTTCCTACATTCCTTACATACATATGACTTCTCTCTAGTGTGAATTTTCTGCTGTAGGGGAAGGGATGTATGTTTTCTGAATATCATTTGACTAAAGTATCCTACTTTAGGTGCCTGTTGTCTCTCAAATTCAGTTCTGATCCATGAGTCATTCCTGAAAATAAACCCCATAAGGTTGAAGGTTGAAGGTTTACTTCTTTTCATTGGCTCACAATGGTATGAATTTACTTCATAGCTGCTTTTTTCTGAAGATAATCCTTTGCTCTCAGTTGTGAAGTCAATGTCTGAAAGAAAACGAGAAAACATTAAACAAATGCTATTTTCCTATACTGGGGGTCAGAAAAGGCCTTCCATAGTAAGAACAGTGATAAATTGACAAGTATATCCATTAGAAATGAAAGGGTCGTCAAATCCTAAAATACAGTGATGAAGTTGTTTAAAGGCAAGAAGAGCTCAGAAAATTATGAAAGTTCACACAAAACTATAAAGTTTGTGAGGAGGCAAAGAGAAAAAGTCAGCAGTTCTCATATTTAGTGTGGATCAGAATTACCAAGGGAATTTATTACACATACTACCCTTCCGATACCCACTGAGACTAAGCAAATCAGAATGTATGAGTGGGTCCTGTTCGTCTGCATTTCTAATATTCTCCACCAGATGGCTCTCTGTGATTTTTTTCAATGGTCTGTCTTCACCTTAGAATGAAACCCAAGCACATAACCATGAATAAGAAGACTCTTATCTTATTTCTACAAATTTTCATTTCAAGCCCCTGACATCTTTGTTCCCTAAATCCGACAACACTGCATCTTTTCAGCTACCAGAACATATCACAACCTTTCCCACTGCCTGGGGCTTCATGCAAGACGCTCTGCCTTTCAGGAATCCTCTTAGATGGCTTCTCTCCATTACTGTCTCCAGGTGTTGCAAGTTAGAAACCACTTCCTCAGAAAGGCTGGCTCTGCTAACTCTGTGTAAATTCATATCCTTTATTCTACCTCCAATAGCTAAGTCTGTGTCTTCATGGTACTCTTCTCTATTACATATTTATTGTCTCATTTGTTTTTCTACTTATTTTCTTACTCTAAAACTCACTTATGGACTTGAAATTTCTTTCAACTACCACTGAAAAACAAGTTCTACCACAAGGTAAGTATTAAATAATTATCTGTAGAATAAAATACTGAATTAAAAAAGTAATGGGTGAAAATCAAGGTAAGGATGAAAATCAAGGTCACTGGAGAAGGCAGCTGAGTAAAATAAACATCTAGTTTGTGAAAATTATGCAACAGTTACCAGCTATCTCTCTTTGACTCTAGTCTCCCACCTCTTATTATTGTAAAATGTGCTTTCCTCTCTCATTTACCTTATAGATGAGAAAAGTGCACATCCAAACCAACTCAGTCAAAAACATAAATGGAAAAGTTGATACCTGACTGTTCTCCAGCTGCCTGTCCCCTTAAAACTATACACATCTTTACCATTGTTGTTTAATCCTTCTGTGCATGGCCATGATTGGTTTTGTTTAAGTAATCAGATGTTATACTACCTTCATCAGGATACTTTCAATATTATCCATCCACCCTACAGATGCTCAATGTTTTGTCCCCAAGGTCTTTCCCCAGTTCTCCCTTTTATTCCTTTATAGCCAAGGCCAATTGTTTTTGAATTTTACAGAAATGTGTATCCATAATTTATCAGGAGTTGTATCAGTTGATATATTTTTAAAGACTTACAAAAGTCTAAGCAAATGAACTTGGGGATGTTGAGGGAAAAACAGAGTAACTGAATGGGAGAAACTCGAGTGGCTAGGACTCTGCAACAAGGGATATGCTGAATGTAGGCTGAAGACTGGTAATCCAGATGGTGGAGCAGCCTGAGGAAATCTGATGTGCTTAGTGGATCAAGTATGAACTGAAGACAAGTGGAATTCTTCTTTGAATAAAGTATGATATGTTTAAAATGTCAAAATAATACAAGCAATATTCTCTGAACCAATGAGAAATGAGTAACAATCTCAAAAAGCCAAAATATTTTCTATTTATAAATGAAAAGCTCTCAACAACTGCTGTTAGGTCAATGAGAAAATACAAACTGAAACCACAGAACTTCTTGAAAACAATGATGATGAAAACACCACACTTCAGAATCTATGGATTTCAACCACAGTGCAGCAAACTCAGAGACTAAAGACTAATGTCTAATGAAAAATAAAAGAATTAAAATGAATAAATTAAGCATTCCATTTAAAAATTAGGAAAAGAAAACAGAGAAAGAATGATAAATTACACTGAAAGAAGACAGAAAAGGGAAATTAATACAAGAAAAGCAAAATGTAAATAAAATAGTATAATTAACATACAAACCACTAGCCTTATTCAAGGAGGCTAGTGGTTTGGATTTTATAGGAGGAAAATCCAGACATAACGGCAACAGAGAAATAGTCATCAATCAAGAAAGAGAAAATTTAGGAAAAAAATCATACAACTATGCAAGTAAATTTGAGATGTACATGAAATGATGGCTCTTTCTGAAAATATAATTCATCAAAACTGAGACCAGCTAAATTTACTGACTTGCTTCTAACAAATAAGAATATAGAAAGGGTAAAATAACTTTACAGTGAAGAAAACTGACAGGAACCACCTTCAACAAGTTTTTAAGGCTAATACCCCAGTATAAATCATGTTGCTATGTACCCCCAAAATCAGAAGGGTACTTCTCTGGTATTCTTCCCACAAATCTATAATCTCAGCTTAATCATAAGAAAGCATCAAACAAACCCAAAATGTGGGGCAATCTACAAAATATCTGACCAGTACTCTTGCAAAGTACCAAGGTTATGAAATACAAGGAAAGACTGAGAAATTGTCACAGATTGGAGGAGACTAAGGTCACGTGTTGACTAAATACAATATAGTATCCTGGATTGGATCCTAGAATAGAAAAAAAGAATTAGTGCAGAAACTGGTGAAACCTGAATAAAATAGGTAGTTAATAGTATGGTAAAACATTAATTTGATAGGTTTATAGATGTACCATAGTTGTGTAAGGGACCAGTACATTGGAACTCTCTGTACTGCATTTGTAACTCTTCTATAAATCTAAAATAATTTCAAAATAAAAAGTAAAACAACAACTACAGACTCCAGAACAGATGAAAAATCTAAACAAACCAATTTCCACAGAAGAAATAGGGGGAAAAATGTGAATTTATCCCCACCAAAAGGCAATCGCAATGAGCTTCCCCTGTTGGCCAGGTTTCAGTCTCTATAAATTATTTCCACTAATATGAACTAGGGTGCCTAAAAGAAGCAACTGCAGGATGGATCAGAGGGAAGTAGGAAGGTAAATGAAGGAGGGAAAATTTAGGTGCTGAATGCAGATGCCCATTTCAACCTAACAAAGCTCAAACTAGTCCTTTGAGACCATGGAGCAAAAACTTAACTGGTTTCTTGGCACAGAGCATAAAATATAAAGTAGAGAAAAGTGGATATTTCAGATAACAGATTCTACATTATTTCAGCCAGATGTCCTTACCCAGTGATACCAAGTTAGTATAATTCTCCAACATCACATCTCTGTACAAATTCTTCTGATCTGAGTTTAGACATTCCCACTCCTCCTGAGAGAAGTCTATGGCAACATCACTGAATGTCAGTGGCACCTGAAATGACAAATCCATGCATTATTTGTAAAAGTAAAAAAAAAATTTCAAGATGGAATACTGAGTTGTAATAGGAGCAATATATAAAAACAATAGGCTTAAGTTAAAGATCATGACATGATTATATGACAATAAATAAATTAGCATATCTGAAGTAGGGTGCCTACACGATCTTTAAGAATACTGTTAGAGTACACAAACTTTCTCTTAAAATATAGAAAAACTGATATATCCAAATGTATGAAAATGAAGAAAGTAATCAGACTTTCCCAATTAAATGAAGTCGTATATGTAAGCACATACTTATATACATACCTGCTATGTGCCCTAGTCACAAGCTATTAATAAATGCAAGTTCTTACATGTTTTCTCTTCAAGGAATATGTAAAAAGAATTGATTCTTCCCTAAAAGTGAATTATAAAATCCCAGCCAAAATGAGATAACAGGGCTTGGATTGACCCTCCCAAAAATGAAAAAATAACCAAAAACCTGGACAAAATGTATGAAACAATGGTTTTCAAGACATTGGGCAATGAAAAACTGATCCCCAAGAGACAAGTAACAAATGAAGTGAACCCTATAATTGCCCTCACTTACTACCAGGAGAAAGGACTTCTCTACAACTATCAGAATGGCTAAACGTTTAAACACTGAGCATTTTAAGCACTGGTGAGGATGTGAAAAAAATGGAACACTCATACACTGCTGGTGGGAATATAAAATGGTACAATCACTTTAAGAATAGTTTGTTGGTTTCCTAAAAGGTTAAACATCCATATGACCCAGCTGTTCTACTTCCAGTGCTTACCCAAGAGACATGAAAGTGTATGTCCATGCAAAGATCTATGCATGAAGGTTCACAGTAGCTTTATTTGTAGAAAGTAGAAAGAACCCAAATGTCCATCAACAGAGAGAACAGACAAATTGCAGTACATCCTGAGAAGACTAGTCAGCAATTAATATGGAATGCACAACATGGATGAATCTCAAACTAAATATGCCAAGTGAAATAAGACAGACTAAAAAGAGCACATAATGTATGGTTCTATTTGCATAAAATTCTAGAAAAACCAACTAACCTATAGTGATATAAAGCAGAACAGTGGTTGCCTGGGCATGTAGGGCAGGATGAGGAAGGGACACATAAAAGGAGGAATGAGAAAAATGTTGGAGCGATGGATATATTCATTATCTTAACTGTGGTGATGGTTTCATGGTTGCATACATCTGTCAAAACTTATCACATTCCACATGTCAAAGATGAGCAGTTTATTGTCAGTTACATTTAAGTAAATATGCCTTAAAAAGATAAAATACATACAATTAATTTTATGTCAAATATCCCCCAAAAGCTGATGAAGTTTCCTTCTTAGAAATAGGGTTGTATAAAATTAAGTAATTTTACCAAGACACAAGTTTATTATATGTCAGATTATATCATAAGTATTTCCTTTATTCTGACAAATTAACATTTTCATTTAGTCTCTCTTAAAGACATCAGATTTAATCTTAAAGTACTAAGGTATTATTAATAATATTAATATAGAGAGTATTATACCATAATAGCATTTAGGTGGGCATAAATCCTAGCCTCTTCCCCGCTGTTCAGTATTATCCACCAGACATGGTTCTAGATGATCTTCCTCTCTACAATCCTTTACTGAACTTCTGGTTCATGAGTTAGAACACACTAACGTTGGATGACTCAGAACAACGCTGAATCACTCAAGACCAGCAATTTCTCTTCCACCACAAAGTGGACCTCAGAACCCTACTCATTTCTCAGAGACTCCTTAGCCAAAACCATTCCCCTCACCTCTAGGCAGGCACCAAGTCCATTTCTATCCCAACCCAAAAGATTTTCAAAGCTGAGATGAGACCATTCATTATCAAATTCTCCCTTATCTACCTGAAAAGTTGTAGAGGAAGTTCTCCCTCCTCTGGTCAGACAGGACCACCATTTCTATATAACAAAACTATAAATCTGACAAGGGAAGCTCAAATATTTCCTTCAAGGTACTTCAACCTTTCACTGCTCCAATACTGCTCTCAAGAGAAGACTGAACACAGAAGATGAATAAATTATTTGATGGATCAGTGAAAAATCAGTTTGAAAAACAGGGGCAAATAAGAAGGGCACCATCCTTCTCCTTAAGGAGAGGAAATTTGAAATAGGTTCAGAGATACAGCTTTCCTAGGAGGGAGGTTTGGGGATAAAGAATGAAAATATTACCTGAATTAAAAATCCTAATATTTCAGGAAGGAGAGACATCTACTTACCTGGGACATGGTTTTTGAACTGCCAGTCCTCCTCAGAAACTCAGTCCAGAGAAGCCAGAGCTGAGGGAGGAAGAAGAAGCCTTGAGACGCAACATATCTCAGAACTCCAAAAATTATTTAAGGTAAGAGAGCCTTTCTTTTTTCTTATTTATTCCTGCTTCCCACCATCCTCACCCACTCCCTGCCCTCCCAAACACATAAACACACTTCAGGGGATATGAAAAGGAGTCCAGACAAATCCAAGCCCCTTCCATGCCTGGGGAAACAAGCCACACAAGCATGCATACAGGGCAGAGGCCCTCATGCACCAAAGCCAGATCCAGACACCCAGCTCTGGTCTGTTTCTCATTCTGATCACGCCTAATGTACCCAGCCTGGGTTGCCCGGTCATACTGAGTAGATCCCAATCCAGCCCTACCTTCCAGGGTTGAGAGTGCGCCGTACAACCCAAGCTTCAACAACCTTATTGGCCCCAAGGTGGACCTGGACTCTGCCAGACAAAAGGCAGACAACAGTAGAGACCAACCTGGAAGCCTTGACCACTATAAATGAAACTGCCTGTCCATGTGAAGCCTGAACTTGACTCCCACGATCCTCTGGGCTGACCAACCTGGACTTCCCCATCAGGGTCCACTGTGCTTGCTGATACGAATCATTGCCTGTGACCCCTCTCCCCTGCTCCCAACCCACCCACTACCCACAAGGGTGGAGTGGATTCATGCTCACTGAAGCTGTATGGCAACACATAGATTTTTGTAACCTTCTGTGTGATAGATGCTCTATGCACATTAACATGTAATCCTGAAATGTACTGATAATCAGTTCAATAGATAAGGAAATAGAAGCTCAAAGAAGTAAAGATATTTTTCCATGTCACAAACAAGTAGAAGTGATGTGTTTTTCATCACATTTTTTTCTATTTTTAATTTTTAATATTTTTGGGTTTTTTTCTTCATTTGTATTGAATCACATTTCTGTAATTATAAAGCCAACTTTTTTTTCCAAATGTTGCCCCTGATGGCCAGACTTTGTTCCATTGTATGAAACCTGAGCGTAGGTATTCAAGACATCACCTATCAAAAGATTTACTAAAGAGATGTTTTAAAGCAATAAAATATTATCATTTTACAGGTATTCAGCTGTCAGATTTTAAAAGTTGATGACACACTACATATTAGTAAGGTTGTAGGGAGAAGCACATCCTCATTGCTGTCCTGTAGACCTGTGAAAGCCTAGTGCAACTGAGACACGTAAGTAGAATTCTGCATAAGAATTTAACAATGAAGGGCCATTTCTGAGATTCCATCCAAAGAAGATAAACCATAAAATGTGCCTAGAGATGTATAAAGGAATATGATGATGGACACTTACTAAAATGAAAAAAAAAGCTGCAGGAAAATCTAAAGGTAGTTAGATGAGCAGTTAATTAAATAATTGAAAGTGTATTCATAATTGCACCTCTTGGGAAGTGATGGAAATGTTAGCTATCTTTATTGTGGTGGCGGTTTCATGGGTGTATACATCTATCAACATTCATCAAATTGTACATCTGAAATATGTGTAGTTTACCGTACAGGAACCACGCCACAAGGGTGTTAAAAAAAAGTATATTCATATAATGGAAAATGAAGTAGATACTGAATATATTTATGCAGATCACTGGTTCTCAGTAGGGGGTGATTCTTCTCCCCAGGACGCATTCACAATGTCTGGCGACAATTTGGTTGCCAAGATGTGTGGAGGGGTGCTCCTGTCTCTAGTGGGTAGAGATCAGGGATGCTGCTGGCCATCCTACAATGCACAGGAAAGCCCCCCACCACAAAGAATTACCTATCCAAAAATAGCAACAGTGCTAAGGTTGAGAAACCCCGACCTAGACTCACTGAAGGAACATAACATAATCTAGAGTCTCAATAATATATTATCCACAATGCCAGCATATGATAAAACTTACAAGAAATGAAAAGAAACAAGAAAGAGTTACTGATACTCAAGAGAGAAAAATCTCAAGAGAAACAATCTCAGAGATGATCCAGATAGTGGAGCTAGTTTACAAGGACTTGAAGATACTATGATTAACGTGCTAAAGAAAACAGAGGAAAAGACAGGCGAGATGGAATGCAAATGGAGTATATCAATAAAGATTTAGAATCTTTAAAGGGAAAATCACATGAACATTTTATAGTTGTAAAAACATCATATCAAAAATTAAAAATGTATTGGATAGATTTAACAGCAGAAAATTCTATTAATTAACATAAAGTCAAATTAACAATAATCAAACAAACAATAAGAGAAATACATGAAACAGTCAAAATGTGAAATTGGACACCTAAAAGAAAATAGAACAGAAAATTTATTTGAGGAAATAATGGACAAAACATTCCAAATATCATGAAATACCCTGATACATAAATCAAAAAACTCAGCAAAATACCTAACCAAATGAAATAAAGAAATCCACACCTAGGCACGTCATGGCCAGATTGTTGAAAAACAAAGTTGAAAATATATCTTAATGTAC